TCTGAAAACCAGGGGCTAGGGAAATGAACTATTATCTGACCTATGCTGAAATTTCAAGCAGATAAAAATCTTCACAAAGCAGGCTTCGAATTGACAACTTCACTTATATGACTTCTATGAATGTACCATGACATATTCAGTAATCCATAAGAGCAGTGGGAAAGTAAAGAATTTCATGTCCATACTATAACAAATCTCTCGAGTACTGCTTTTTGTCATTACTTTACATGATACGTGACCTACTCACTCCAAACCATGGTACATTTCCTAGAAGGAGCGGCTTGCAGACACCCCATGCAGAGAAGAGGCAGCACAGCACACTATCATTCCGAATTTCAGAAATTTCAGCTCAATGCAGGAATGTCATTGTGCTAGTGGAAAAGTATTGTAAAGAGCAAGCCATTTTGCTGGTGCAGCAAGAATCTTAGCTTAATCCATGCACATATTCTCTGATTACCTTGCAAAAAAATTCATGCATTCAAAAAAGCAATGAAAGTTTACCTGAATGATCCACTTTTGTTGAAGGAATGCTCTTAGGAGACATTATCTATACCATAAACATATATGAATGTCTAGATCAATTCCAAGAAATAAACCAACTAGATATTCATGATGACATGCAGTGACTTTTTGCATACCCTGAGTGACTCCCAGTATACCAGTTGTCCCACTGAGAACTGAGTAGACAAAGGCTATTTCAAGTCAGTTGATTGGAAACCAGAATTTATTATGCCATAGAAGTAATGCCATACAACTAACTAAATTCTCTTGCTAGTTAACAAGAACCCATTTAGTCCCAAGGGGTTTTTTTGTTAAGGGAAACAAAAAAACCATTAATGCATGCCTTAAAAAACAAAACAAAAAACACACAACATTTTAAAATAGTAAAGTTTGCTTTTGGTACCTTCATTTCTGCATGTCCTCTTTTACCTTCCAGTTTCCCCCAGGATCCTACAGCCCTTTCTTTCCTTAATACTTCCCAAATGCTCCACATCCTAATTTATCTACCTTGTTTTCTTCTTTCCCCATTTAAGAGTGGCATTTCTTCAGGTTAGCTATTCTCAGCTGTGTTGAGAGGAAAGCAATTCAACTGGTCTAATTCCTATTCATTCACAACTGACTGATAATGCATTAATTATTTGCATTTAAGAAGGAAAGGTAAAGTGAGTAATTTTAAGTTTGGTTAAATAAAGTGAAAAAATAATTCATTATACGTAAAAGATATTTTGTGCCAGGGAACCACCAATTATGTAGAACAATCTATCTTAACTATACACCTGTCATCAATTTCCTCACACAGGTATTCTCCAGCAGGGGTGCACAGACCACTTAATTTTAGGCAAAATTGTGTAGGTGACTCAAAGTCTGCACTTTATTCTGGAAGAGAATCCACAGCTTTCATTCAATTCCCCCCCAAAATATCCTTGAGTCCAAGAAGCTTTAAGAACTGCTGTCCTAAATTGCTCTGAATTCTTAGATCTCTTTAATTAGTTTTGGAATTAACAAACTCTCTAACTTTTTTCCACAATACTATCATGAATCCCAGGCAGTGGCCACTCCAGTGGGGCAAGCAGGGACCTGTGTAAGGCTTCAAATGTATATAAGGGTCATTTGTAATTCAAGTGTTTGCAATACGAACAATTACAGACACATCACACACCTTACTCCCTATTTGCAAAAAGCTAAGTATTAATCTTCTCTGTATCATTCACCTCTGCTCATGTTTAATAGCTAAAAAAAGTAAAAAGTTATTTCCATTATCCTTTCAGAATCATCTTTAATTAGGAAAGTGCTGTGTGCTAAGTGTGAAAGCTGTCTGCCATGGGTTTAATTAGTATTTAAAAGAGGCAATTCTATTGTTTCCCTTTGAAATTATCAAAAGGTTACACCTTTTCATATCACTCCCCGATTATCAAGTACTGCAAAATATTCTCTTTTTTTTGAGACAAGTTCACTAGGTTGCTCAAGCTCTAGTGTTGTGGCTATTTACACAGTCATAGCTCACTGCAACCTTGAACTCCTGGCCTGAAGGGTTTCTCCTGCCTCAGCTTCCCAGGTAGCTGGGACTACAGGCACATACCACTGCTTAAAATATTCTTTATTTCCATATTATCAGGATTGTTCATATACATGCTCAGTGACAGAATGCGTAGTCATTATAAAAATCACGAAAAAATAGGATATGAACAAAGACAGTGTTTCTTACAGCCCTGTATTGCTTTCCAAATATTATGTTCTATATTCTTTCAAATTTAATCAGTGATTTAAATCTTCCACATTTACAGAATAGGTGCCAATAACACTTCCAATGGTTAAAGAATTAAGTCTCAAATAAAATATACATCGTAGATGGTGTTTCTTCCTGTTCCCATGACAACTTTCATACTATACTGAAATAATCTGCAATTCAATTTTCATATTTTTAAAACAAAAAGATAAAGCTATTTAAACAAAATACCATAATTTTTAAATAAAACTAAGTTTTGAATCACTTCATTGACATTCAGAGTTAGTGATATTACAGTAATGTAGATATAGTTTGGGTTATATGATTTTAAAAAGGACAAAGTATTCATAAGGTGTTGGATAAAGTCTTCAAACAGATTTTTATTTTCATAAATCTAAAATAAGCACCCTATCAGGCACTGTGTTCTGTCACTCTTCATGACAGGGAAATTTTTGCAATGAAAATGCAATGAGACTCTACCAGAGGACATTTTTATCATGACCACAATGACTCACCAGTGTGGCTATTCCTTTTGAAATAGGTGGTAGAGCTGGATTTAGATTTGGATGTAAGATAGGTTGAGTTGGAACCAATGGAACTTGAAGACAAAGATTTTCCCAGATTATCAGAACTTTTCTTGATGATATTGGTAGCTGTTTTACTCCAATCTGAAAGAAATGACATCACTCTATCAATCTGCTTTATGGGAAATATGCTGTGCCCTGAAAAATCATAATTGCATTATTTCATTTATCTGGAGCATCTGATTTTCTGATATGCTGGCAATGGCCCAGAGAAGAGGCAGACATGTGAATAATAAACTGAAGACACAGAAAAATTTCTTACTTTGACTTTGTATTAATATATACACTCCTTAAAATCCCACTTCAGCACCCTAAGGGTGAGAAGTAACCACTAGTGGTAAGAAAGAAAGAAAAGAAAGAAAGAAAAGGAAAGAAAAAGTAATACTTTTCTTTGGATATTTTTTACATTGAGAAAAATTTCCTTGCATAATAATGTAATTAAGGATCTCAAAAACATAGAAAGATGAGTCTGGAATAGTGGAACCTCTGGATATCCAGGTTGTTAAATTAGACATCAAACTTTGGGCAACTCATTCAATCTGCCTGGAATTCATTGATTTTCCTCTGCAGAATAGAAGGGATGGGTCCAAAGTTCTCAGATTGCTTCTAGCCCTAATATTCTAAGATTCCAACTAAGGATCTCTTCATATGCTTCACTTTTATAACTTGCTACCATTAGGGTTTGGTTGCTCTGACAATGGAAGACTAAATGAACATTTCCAACTACTTTTAGAGGTAAAACCCTATCAACAACATGCCCCTTTACCTGAGTTGTCTGCTAACCGAAATCTACCGCAGCAGAGATGCCGCCTCCACTGTTTCTGAACATTCTCCTTCATAGCACAGTGGAAAATAAATATAAATAAGCCTGTGATGAAAGAAAATATAAATATTTAAGCCAGCTGATGCATTTTTAAAGATAAATCCTATAAAATACATGGATTCATTTTAATTTAAAATATTTTACATCTAAGTCACTTGTGCTTTGGAAGAGAAAAAGATCTTAAGGAAAGAAATCTTGCAGTATGTAGTCAAAATTTTAATCCTTCAGAACAGAACACAAAGGCTCAGATAAAACTAGAATAACTACATGGGATGGATTCTATCTTTGCTTGTTCTGTTCAGCATTCATTATGACTTAACCTAAAAACCAAGCTGAAATAAGCAACATTCATTCAATTTAAGAAGTATTTAATATTTCCCTTATATGTCTTAAAATTGTATTAAAAATTTCCATAAAATTTAGAAAAAAGAGAAAATTGAAAACACCCATAAGTTCATCATGCTTCAATTTGTGTATGTTGAGCTATTTTACATATGCATATTATATTCATAATATATTAGGTTGGGTCATAGAAAAGTGGTATTTTTGCAGGTTAAACATAGCCTCAAGTCAGCAAAGTCACCTGGCTTACTTAAGCTTCTCATCATTTTAACACAGAAATGTTACTGTAATGGGAAATAGTCTTCATATTTATAGCACTCCCTGTGCCTATCAAAAACTAACTGTGTCAGTTGTGCTTTGGAAGCCAATCCCTTTTCATTTTTCAGGGAATTTGCTCCTGCATTTTAACCTCCTCCTCATGGCCTCATCCTGTCTCTTTTGCTCCTCTATACTCTGTTATTCCCATTACCTTATAAGCATATTCTAATAACTTTTTAAAAAACAAAAAATTTCTCCCTTAACCTCCAATTGTCTTCTAGCTTCAACTTCTTCATTTCCTTTCCCAATAAAACACCTTGAAATGGTTAACTTTTGCTATCTCCACTTTTTCTCATATTTTCCCTTCTCAGCCCACTCCAAATGGGCTGCTACCCACAACCATGACCCACTGTGACTGCTCCTGTGACAATCAGTGACTCCCATATTGCTAGGTTGTCATTGCTATTTTATTAGACCTCTCAGCAGCAGCACTCAACACAATCAAACATTTCTTCATTCCCGATGCCATTTTTTCCTAGTTCTCTTCCTAATTTCCTAGGGATTCCTTCTTGGCTTCTTGGTCTCCTAAGTAGATTCTTCTGTTTACTTTTTTTTTTTTTTTCTTTTTTGAGAGACAAGGCCTCACTCTGTCACCCAGGCTAGAGTGCAGTGGTGTGATAACAGCTCCGTGCAACCTCAAACTCCTGAGTCCAAGCGATCCTCCCACCTCGGCCTCCCAAAGTGCTGGGATGTGAACCACCACACCTGACCTGCTTTAAAGACTGACATGTCTGTAACTCAGTCCCAGGTTCCCATCTCTTCTATGGCTACACTGTCCCAGTGGGAAATACTACTTCTGAAATATTAGTTCCATATACTGATATTTTATATTTGGCCCCATTCCCTCCTCTCCCCAACCTCACCAGGATTCCAACCCATATTGCCTACAGGACACCTTCACTTGACTGTATCTCCACGTAGCAGCGTCTCACACCCCAGATGTTCTGAACAGAGGTCCTCCTCATCATGACCCTCAAGCCACACTCACCTTTCTTCTGTTTCTCAATATATCAAGCTCATTGCTACCCAATACCATGCTGAACACTCTTCTTCCAGATCTTTCCATAACAGGTTCCTACCTATCATTCAGGTCTAAGACCAACTGTTAACTCCTCAGAGAGGCCATCATCAACCATGAAGTTGTTCTTTTTTTTTTTTTTTAATTTTAGCCTCTAGTCACTCTCTTTCACACACCTATTTTTTTCAGAGCACTCATCAGTGCCTGATATTCTCGTATTACTCATTTATTTGCTTGAGTGTCTCTTCCTAGCACATAATAAGATCCAAGAGAACAGGTGTACTTGTCTATTCAATGCTACATTGGCCATTCCAGGAACGATGCTAGAAATTACACAGGAATTTTTTGATGAATGTTTATTGACTGAATGAATGGGAACCATGACCAACCAATCTGTTAATTGAATGCTTGCATGTACACTCTAATGTGTTAAATGTGTTTGAGATAGGAGGTTAAAAATAGGTGTGTGTAGTACACAAATTAAGGGACAATAGGAATACAATGAAAATACATTTAAGGTGAAAGTTTCTGAAAAGAACACAAATAAATTGCTGAGGAACTTCCCTAGTAATATACTATACTAAGCAGTATATCCACTTAAGGGAGGGCGTTTTAGGGGATCTAGGGCTTGAATAATTGAGTAAATTTAATAAGCAAATCCATTTTGTACCACCAGTAGTGTGAATAAGCAAAAGTGTATAAATAACTTGAATTGGTTACTAGATCCTTTTAAGTTTTGAAGAGGTGGTAGCACTTCTACAGAAAAGTGGAGGGAATGAAGCCTGAGGTGAGGTTACAGACGAAGGAGACTGTGGTTCTAGAGGAGGAAGCCCACTGCTTCAGGTTTACTCAATTTTCCTTTAAGAAGTAAGAATTTCCAGAATTTGTTCTGGGAGGTATTTTTGTCACACAGCTAAAAATATAGGTAACTGTGTATTCTTAAGCAATTTTTTAACAGAATCACATATTAGACCTGGAAAAGATTATAAACTTCAATTAAGGACTTTTGTTCCTGGGCAATAATCCAGGTATTACTCACTATAGGGCCACACATTGAGCAAATGATTTTCTTTTAGTTGAGGGTAGAAGGAGAATTTGCTAGATATTGCCTCCCTTAATACACTATTATTCTTCTGTAACACTTAGTTTTTATACATGTCATATACACCGGAAGAAAAAATTTCAGAGGTTGTGTCTGATATTTCAAGGACATTGGAAGAAAACTAGGTCACAGATTCACTTCTTCAGCCTTCTTGGGGTGCTAAAATGTGAATTATTTTGAGGATCAGCTGCTGACAAGTCAGAGAGGATGAGGTTAAAGATAAAACTGACTTAAACAATTTTTTAGATTGTGTAGTGCTACCCTGGATAATTATATAACATTAGATGATATTGCCTATTTTAAGCAAGCACATTTGCCTGTAAATATATAAGCACCTAATAAGTTTAAGAGACACTGGTATGTACACAAATTGGATTTCAAATCTAAAACATCTCCTCTAAAATTAAGTGATAGAGTAAAAGTCATAGAAATGCTCCATCTTCTACTAAGAACTGTGATACTATGGGGA